ATGTGTCTTCATCTGAGCTGCCTGGGGAGCCCGCTGTGATGTCACAGGCCTAAGCCTGATGCCTGGAGAGCCCTGCTGTGATGTCACATGCCTAAGCCTGATGCCTCCAGAGCCCTGCTGTGATGTCACAGGCCTAAGCCTGATGCCTGGAGAGCCCTGCTGTGATGTCACATGCCTAAGCCTGATGCCTCCAGAGCCCTGCTGTGATGTCACAGGCCTAAGCCTGATGCCCAGGGCACACTGTTGTGGGGTCTCAGGCTTGACCCTGAGCAGTAAGTATACTGGCTTAGTGTTTTCCTGAATTGGTGTAGCTCACTGGCCTCCTTCAGAGTCTGCTGGGTATTTCAGGAGACTTTCAAAGTAGAAAAGGTTATTTTTAAAGGTACAGACATTAATCTTTCACTAATATAAAATGAATATTCAACACATCAATTTGTGAGGGAGCCAGAAAGCCCTTGTGTCCTACACAAAGGACAATAAACAACTGGATGAGAGAAAAGAGAATGAATGGTACCCGGAGGCCATGGGCTCTGGCAGCCTTCCACTAACGCTTAGCTCTGTACAGCTATCCTGATGCCAGGAGAACATTGTGACTTAGAAGGAAGTATGCCCTGCTTCTTTGCTGTCACATACCCATGACGAGTGACAGATTGCCATCTTAGATCCATGTTTGGCTAAACCCTTTTCTTCTTTCCTTCAGTCTGTAAAACCAAATTCATTGAACACCATTTTGGAAACACATACTCCGGGCAACTAGAGTTCCTGGTTTTCTTTTGGTAGCCATCCTTGTTTTGACTGTGGGCTTCTCACACTCTGTGTGCCTCAGTTTGCCCTTTAAGTCATTTTTAGATTGTCGGGCATGCTGAAATGGCTTTGGTAGTAGTTTCCCCAGTGGTGGAGTGTACCAGTCAGCTTGTGTTTATTTCAACAAATTACCTGAGTCTGTTCTCTTAAGAAGAGAAGTATTAATTTTGTCTCACAGTCCAGCAGCCAGCTGGCCCTATTGCTTTGGCTTGTGGTGATACACCATGATAAGAGTTTATGGTGGAGGAAGACTGCTTATATTTGTGGTAGGGAAACAGAAGCGAGCATGGGGGGATGGGTGCTCCTGTAAGCCCCCTTCCCCACTGTCCTAAAGACCTCTCACTATGTCTTAAAGGTCCCACTACCTTCAACATCAGCTCATAAGCTTTTCTGGGGCATTGAAGACTCAAACTAAGGTAGAGAAGGATCAGTTGAGATGCTACTGGGTAGACTTTGCATGTCCATAAACGAAGACTATTTGTATTACATGGTAGTTACTCGTCTTGTTGCTATGACAAAATACCCAACAAAAGCAACTCAGGAGAGAAAGAGTTTATTGGGACCCCCAGTCCGTGAATGCAGTCCATCATGGTGGGGAGGACAAGGAGGCAGGAGCTGAGGACAGCTGGTCACATGGCAACCACAGCCAGGAACAGGGAGAGTTGAGCCCTGCTGCCCAACCTGCTCTCTCTACTCAGCCCGGGCTCCAGCCCATCTGATGGCGCTGCCCACATTTAGGATGTGTCTTTCCACCTCAGTTAATGCCTTCCAGGCAGGTCCAGAGGTCTGTTTCCATGGTGATTCTAAACCCTACCGAGATTGACTGTTGTGTATTACAATCACGTTTGGCGGTTCTCATCTCCGGCTTTGAGTTATACAGTTGTTGCCTTTGGGACTTTATTTACTTTGTCATCCAACCATCCATTTATCTCATCCATCAACAGTCTTCATTTTTTTTAAATTCATCTCTAACAGTTACAGATGCCAATATCTGTCATGTTCTTAGGAGTTCCCTTGATTAGTAGGAGGAGTCTCACTGGATATATTTCAAGTCTCTAACTTATGTGGGCAAATAAACAGCATGCTGTGACCTCTGCAGCCAGATAAGTGGTGGTGTGCTGGCTCTCTGTGTAAGTTGCTCTTGGCCTCTGTTCATCAACTGGCCATGACACATTTGACTTTTGGAGCAATTAACAAACTGTTCCCTAAAGTTTACCCTCCCTCCAGTCGTGTCTGAGTCTCCAACTTCTTCATATTCCCATCAAGTCTATTGTTTTCTATTGTGTTGGTTCTTAAAAAGCCGATACAATGGGCGTGATCTATCATCTCAATGGGGTCTTAGTGGTTTCCCTGGTTACTAGGGATGTGTAACATCTTTCTGTTTGCTTGATGACCATTTGATTCTTTTCTTTGGAGCCATCTCTCTTCAAGATGCTTGCTTACGTCTTAAATTGAGGTTTTGATCTTTCTTTAATACTTCTTTTTTAATCTGTGTGTACATCTTCTCTGCATGTATTTCTGTGCAACACATGTGTGTTTGGGGCCTAGAAGACCAGAAGAGGCCATCAGATCTCCTGGAAAGCTGGTTGTAAACTGCCGTGTAGGTGCTGGGAAGAAACATGGTTCTTTGGAAGAGCAGCCAGGGCTCCTAACCAAGGAGTCATCTCTCCAGCATTAGATCTTTGTTTTTTTTTTTTTAAGTTGAGTTGTAGGGGAGGCCAGAGGTTGACATTAGGTGTCTCCTTGCTCCCTCTCCACCTTATATGCTTAGGCAAGGTCTTTCTTTTGTACCCAGCGTTGAGTGATTCAACCAATCTAGCCAACTTGATCTGACCATGTCTGTGGCTTCTGAGTAATGGGGTTACAAATGCCTGTCCAGTATTTGCTTGGCTCCTGGAGATCTGAACTCCAGCCCTCACACTTGTACAGCAAGCAGTTTATTCCACTAAGCCTTCTCCCCAGCCCTTCAACAACAGTTTTCATTTTCAGTGGACAATATTGTACCTTCTCTGTTAAATTTATTTGGTGTTTTTTTTTCATACTGTTGTCAGTGGAACTGTTTTCCTAATACCCTTTTCCGATTGTTCACTACTAATTTGTAGAAGAATAGCTAGTTTTGTGTGTTGACCTTATTTCTTGAAGCCTTGTTGAATTTAACTTAGTTCTTGTGGTTACTTTTTATTAAAAAGCCAGAAAAACAACCCATGTAAAATCCGATCTGTGGGTAGAAGTAGTTTTACTACTTGCTTTCCAGTGTTGGTCTCTTTTATTTCTTTTTCTTTCCTAATTGTCTGATCAGTGCAGTGGTTTAGTTTTTGACTAAATTAAACTGAAAATCCTTGATAGACATCCAAGTAGAACCGTGAAGCCAGCAGAGCACTGGAGTCTAGAGGTTAGAGACTGAACATATAAGAAGCTGGGATCACCAGCCACGTGCTGACATGGCTGGTATTTAAACCCAGGTGGCCACTCTAGAGAACAAACTTGTGAAGGAAGAAAAGTGGTGGGCAGCGGACAAGGGATGGGGATGGGGAGAGTGGAGGAAGGAGATGCCTAGCATCTAATTGCCCAGCTCCCTCCCTGCCACTGTGGCCCCCTGGGTTGTCCCACCTCTGGCCTGTGGTCCCTTGGACTATCTGATCCCCATCCTATCAGAGATGACACTCAAGGACAGTCTTAGCTCACACAGAATAATGTTGGAAGACTGGAGTCTCCCACCCCCATGCCCTGTGTGTCCAGAACCAATCAGAAAGATGTGTTGTTGTTGTTCCACACGGGTTATCAGAAGTACAGAGCAAGAAACTGTAATGTTCCAGAAGGATAACTAAAAGGACAGGAAAGTAGTAGTCTATTGCTTAACTGTCATCCTCAGAGCTCTTCTTCTTGATATCTTTTAGATTCATATTACCTCTGCATCCTTCAGTCTCCATCTTCCCTAAGTGTACTGTGTTAAGGCCCCTCCCCAGAGTATCAGTGTCAGGCAGCATCCTTAGAAGCCTTTTGTATTTCTCCTGTGCTTTCTCCATTCAAGAACAAGTGAGGCTCCTCCCTTCAATTGCAAAGGGGTGTGTGTGTCTGTGTCTGTGTCTGTGTGTGTGTGTGTGTGTGTGTATGTGTGTGTTTGTAGTAACTTCACACAATCCCCTGGAATACACACTGAAAGACATCAGCAAATTCTAGGAAAAAAAAACCTAGGTTACTCATGGAATTTGCATTTTCTGTAGTGTACACACTGTTCTTGTCATCCCAAGGAACATCTTAAAGAAGGCTTTATCTGGGCTCCCAGTTTGATGACATGGTCCATTGTGACCAGGAAAGCAGGAACTTGAGACAGCTCACTGTGTCTGTATGCAGAAAGCAGAGATCGTGACTGTTGGTTTCTTCCCTTTATCCCGTCTGGGACCCCAGTCAATGGAACAGTATCCACTCACCTTTAAGGTGGGTTTCCACCTCTGTTAACCTAAGCTAGGTAACCTCCCACAGACATGCCTAGTTGTTTGTTACCACGGTGATTCTAAATCGCGAGAGTTGACCAGCAAGATCACACTAAGTTAAAATGTCTAAAATACCTTGTTGGGCAGGATCTGGTAGTATCCTTCAATACCGCAGCAGAAGGATTGGGAATTCCAAGTCAGCCTTGGTTACGTAGCAAGTTGAAGTTATATACAGTGAGATCCTGTCTCAGTAGCAGCCACCACCAGCTAATATGTGCAGTTTTCATCACAGCAGACAATCGCTGAAGATGTGAGATTTGCTAGGCCCTCCTGACTATAAACAGTATTATATAGGAGTGTGTTCAAAATGAGAACATGGTAGCTGATAGCTTCGGGACAGTGGGCCAGCCTTTGCAGCACCTTCTCACTCCTTCCTAACTTTAAAGTCTGCACTTTGACTTATCTGGAGGTTCTCTGTGGGCTTCTCCATCATGTCTGGGTTTTTTCGTTTTGTTTTTGTTTCATTTGTTTTTTTTGGATTGGTTTTAGCATAGTATCTAAATTTCCATCTCCAGATTTTTTTCTAAGAATATAAAGTTCTTATATATATATGTGTGTGTGTGTGTGTGTGTATTGTGTGCTTAAATGTTTGTGTTTAAGTGATATAACTATTTGAAAAACTTATTAAAGTTTATTTCTGTGGGAAAAATTTCATATATTTTTGACTGTTTTTTTGTTCTTTTTTTTTTTTTTAATCTCCAGACAGTGAGAACATTAGTCATGACAAGCATGCCATCTGAGTAAGTACTTGTTGTTTTGATAACTTTCTATTCATTGTAAAAATTAGCCTTCTCTTGTATATACTGTAGGTCTTTGTGCCTTCAGGACATTCACAGAACTGGACTGGATCACTTTTACTCAATGTAACGAGTATGGGGTTAGAAGATCATTAGAAACTGAAAATGTAGTTAAATGTGGGCTATTGAGTGCAAAAAGCTTTTTGGGTCCTTTGCATAGCATTAAGAGATTTTATTTATTTATTTATTTATCTCTGTCATCTTTGTTCGCTTAATTCCTAATGGTTTTGTTTGTCCGCCCCTCACCCCATGAATGTTCAATAGGCTGAGCAGTACAGGTCGAAGCATTTCTTTCCAGATCTTGGAGAAACACCACGTGATCTAAGGCAGCTATCTCTGCATCTCGTGGAAGGGTTAATGGCTTGCTGCTGGCTTGCTCTTATCATCCCCCTTAAACATTTAGCACAATAAAGAACATCCAACAAAAATATATAATACTATATTCCTTGCAACGGATTTTCAAATTTGTGCTTAAAGAGGAAAACCACATTTTTTGTATCAATCACAGGTCTTGAGGTTTTAAGACATTCATCAAAACATTTGGACCATTTCAGTGAAAACATGCTGCAGGAAGCTTGTGCGCATGGGCCACTTTTTGTGGTGGGCTCCTTTTCCTGCCATGGCGTGCAAACAAAAGCACTGATGTTTTAAACATTGTACGCCATGTATCACAGAAGAGGAGCCCTCTTGTTTTTATTAATACCTTTGACGTGTCATGAACACTTTAGTCTGCTCTAGGAATACTGAATATGAACGTAAGAAAGTCCTTGGTTGTTCTGTAAGTTTAAAAAAAAAATGATGGCCTGTTATTTTTGTCCTTAAAAGATTTCAAAAGAAAACTTTTCATTTTGGCTGTTCCTTCCCCTGATCCCTTCTCATCTTACACTTCTTGCATATCTTAAGGAGGCCTTGGACAGTCTGATTCCACGTTGATTAACAAGGCCATAAAAAGGCAGTTGTTCCCAATTAGCACATCCATGAGCTGCTGGTAGCTGCCAGGCTTGGAACAGACAAGATCAGATACTCTGAAGTGAAGTTCTAAACTTAATCCCCTCTGAGATGCTAACAAGCTTAGTGTCTCCAGGTCAGTTGGGGAGAGGCCATCTCCACTCTGTGGAGCCCTAAGATTAGAAGTTGCAGGTGGTCTGCCCTTCTCACAGGGAGAGGCTGAGCTCTTGAGGTGCTCTATTCCGGGAGATAAAACTCAGGAGTCAAAAGCACGGGGCACAGCAGGCCACCCATTGAGGTACCATTGTCATGTCTCCACTGACAGCATGGCCCAGAAGGCCCTGCTCACAGCTTGTGATTCACTGGGGATTTTCACCCAAAGCTGGGCAGGGGCCATGGATATTAGCAGGCTCACTAAAAGAAAAAAGCGGGCAGATTAGAACTAAGGGCCCTTGTAAGGATACTAGAGGAAGATATTGAAAAACAAACCAGAAAGGCGTGCCAGCCATAAAGAGAATGACAAGTTAAAGATGCTAGTGAGCTTTGGGAATCAAAGAGATAATTAGAGTCCCTTTATTTCCTCTCTTTTTTTTTAAATGGGAAAAACTGCATTTGACACTCCAATAATGTTACATTTTCAAAGTAAAATAGGCAAATAATAAACCGGGTCCTGGGCTAGTGGATCTGGGTCCTGGGCTAGCGGGATGCTTGTGAGAAAAGCTCTGCTGCCGGACCTGATGACCTGAGTTCATTCCGAGAACCCTCGCGGTAGAAGGAAAGAATCTACCCTCACACGTTGTCCTCTGCCCTCCACACACTCACGGCACACATGCACACGCATACCTCTTTAGAAGAGCATGTACACACCGGTTCAAAAGGGCATGATCCAATGTGCCGGTATGACTCCCAATGCTGCTGCTGTCCCTATGCCTGTGTGACCCTGGAGATAACCATGGGCAGCTTCAAGGGCTTGGAATTGAGACCTGAAAAGTTCCTGTTCCCCCAAATCCCATGTTCCTGTTTGTAAAGAAACCAGGGTTTGAGCGCTGTAACTACAATGAAGCCAGACTGTCTGTCTAATGGACATACAGTGTGAAGGCTGACCGTCGACTCTCTTGGTCCACAGGAAACAGAGCCTCATCATCCAGGTGGTAAACACACTGAAAGGCTTTTCATTCGCACCCGAGGTCTGCGAGTCCACCTCCCACGTGCTGGTGGGGAAGTCTGTCCGCACCCTCAACGTGCTGATGGGGATCGCTCGAGGCTGCTGGATTCTGTCTTACGAATGGGTAAGCCCTGCGCTCATTGTTTCATTTTAAAACTTTTGGTCTGAGGTGACGGCATGAGCAGCCGTGCTGATGCTTACATGCACGGAAGTGACTCTGAGAGCCGGCAAGCTGTTTGCTCTTCCCATGGTCACTCAGAGAGTGTGTCACTCACGGCGAAGGCTAGGGAGGATGGTGGCCTATAGAGTAAACTCCCAGTGTCCAATGGAAAGAAGATCAGAACAGGCTTGAGCTAAAAACAAACTGGGTTCTCTCACATGCCAGTGAGTGTTGCTGTGTGTTTGACTGAGGAGTGATGGGAACTATGTTCTTGATGGCTCAGAAGCCAAAAAGAGAAAAGAAAAAAAAAAAAAAACTCCAGAGATTGTTTGCACAGATGGATTTGCTTAGGATGAAGCATGTTCAGCTAATCCCATTGGATATGTTGCTGCAAGCGCACACATGCATTGTTAACATTATTTTCTGTGCATTTAAGACCGTCTTTAAAAATGTATCATCATTTTCATAATTTATAAAAATTGTGATAGGCTGTCAGTCGGTGTGGTTTTCCTTTGATCCTCAGCCTAGGGATCACTTCAAAGGCCATCGGCTCGTTGCCAGTGGGAACAGCCTCATTGGCTACTTGTGTTACGTTGACTTTCGCGCTCCTTTCTCCTCACCCAAGAATGTGCTACATTAATACTGGGTTAATTTAATCCTGTAGGATTATACTGTAAAAACAAGCTGCAGATGTATTTTTAAGACGCTTTTTCCCGTGTCATAACCCACAGCTGTCTGTGACAAAAGACTTAAGAGGGATCAGGGGAAAGTTGCAATTGCTAAAGTACTTGCTGCGCATGAAGACCTGGGTTCAAATCCCAGGGCCTACATGAAAAGCCTGGCGTGCTGCATGAATTTGTAATCCTTCCTGTCACTGGGGAGGTGGCTGCAGCAGATCTCTGGGCCAGCCTGGTCTAATGGGCAGGTCCCAGTTAGGAATGCAGTCTCGGAAAACAAAGCTTCTGAGGAACGACACACAGCATCCACAGATGCGCACACATAGGAAAACACACAAAAAGACGTGGATTTTTGCTTAAAATCATGATGTACAAAACTTTAAAAGTATTCTGTTTTGTCTTGGCTTTGTGTTTGTTTGTTTGAGACAGGGTTTCCATATGTAGTCTTGGCTGTCCTGGAACTCACTCTGTAGACCAGGCTGGCCTCGAATTCACAGAGATCCACCTGCCTCTGCTGTGATTAAAGGCACGCGCCACCACTGCCTGGCTCTGGAAGTGTGCTCTCTACAAACGTAGGTATCCGTACTTGATTGTGTGCCAGGCGTTCGTCTGGGAGATGAGCACTAGGAGAGACCAGATGAGACTTTGGGACACTCACTGTCAACTTGCAGAAAGACTCTCGGGTGTGAGGGGGCACAGTGAAGGAACCGCTGACATCCCCACTCCATGGAGTAGCTAAGGTTTTTATTGTGAATAAGAGAGAGCATCCAGAGGCATCTGGAAGAATCTAGAGCAGAGAGAGAAAGAAGCTGACCAGACATGGCGAGGGCTACGCATCTTGGAGAGAAGGGAGAATAGCAAACGATTGAGAGACTAGACCTCAGGGAGGGAGCAGGAGAGCAGGTGTGTAAGCATGGCTCTGGATCAGTGAGAGCAGGACATGAGGAAGGTGAGGAGCTGGAGCAGGAAGGAGACTGGGGTGGGGGCTTTGAAATGCCTGGCACATGCTTGCAAATGGGGACTGATGAGCCTGGAGGCCAGCATGGGCTTTGACATGCAGCCAAACGTCAATGGACAGCCATATGTCCCTTCTGCCACAAGAAAGCAAAATGACTCCTTTGGCTGATGGGAATCAGTTTCATAAGTGAGAAATGCTTGCTTTTATCTAACTGCCAAAAAAATATCCTCCTATAGTCCAGGTTGAGCTAGGCCTAAACTCAGTTTGGACTGAGTCAGGGCCCCTGCCCATTTTGGAGGATGGGGGGCCGGGAGCCTGGGTACCCTTTGGACTGCACAATACTAGAACCCTTACACTTCTGCTCAGTGTCTGCCAGTTCTTCACTAATCACATACGGCCTCCTCAACTTTACTCTTTCTTCTTCATGGACCTTCTACCTTTCCATGGATGGAGCAGGAACCCCATTCTCCCCCATCCCAAGCGTCAATAGTTTCACTACCACTGCCACCCAGAGTGGCCATGGTCCCTCTGGAATACACCTCCCCCTCGCAGTCTCTCATCTTCTTCAGCACCCAGCTCCAGGCTCTTCTCCATCTCCTTCCATCACCTCTCCATCTAGCCCTCCTGGGAACTAGATCATTGCAGAGACAAGCTGCCTTACTTTGCCCTGACGTGCTTAGTCACAGCACATGGTGAGGACCACTCACAGTTGCCAGAGGGCAGCTCCTCACTCAAATTTTCCAGTTCTCTCATTATGTTCAGATGGGTCACTCAAATCAGGGCTGTTTAAAGAAATCATTCTTCACAAAGCCAACCCACTTATTTAAAAATAACTCCTGGCTTTGGCCATGCTGCTTTGCTAGGTAGAGTCCTCCGTGGCTGCCACGGCAGGTAGGATATGGTGGAGGTGTCTCAGGGTGTTCTCACATGGCTTGCTTACCTGTATTGGTTGGTGTTTTCCACTTTCTCTCCTTCCCTGCGCCAAAGCCTCATGTCCCCTCTTAACTGCAGAGCCCCTGCAAGGCTCTCCAGGCCCCTCTGACTAGATCTGGGCCGTTTTCACACATCTCCTGGTCCGTCCTTCTTCTTTTCATTTCTTTTCTCTCTTCTCTCCTTCCTTTCTTTTTTCCTTTTCTGTTTTGTTTTAAATAGGATCTTGCTAAGGCCCTGGCTGACCTGGAACTCACTCTGTAGACCAGGAGAGCCTGAACTCAGAGCTCCTCCTGCCGCTGCCTCCTGCATGCTGAACTTAAAGATGTACACCACACACTTGTTTTGTTGTTGCTGCTGTTTTTATTTTGTTTTTGTTTTCCCTTTGGTTTTTGTTTTCGTTGCTGACTTTTTTGACAACTCCTTTATCCTACCTGGCCCCATCTCCAAAAAGCTGTGGGTTAGACTATCCATTGTACATTTTCAGTAAGATTTATCGAACTTACATTCAGTCATTAGACTTCCTGGTATCCATGGCTTCCTACAGACTGGAGGACATGTCCATTCTGTTTGTCTCTGTCTCCTTGCTCCTGATCATACATGCCTGTGGAGTAGAACAGAGGAAAGAACACCACCCCAGATACAGAATCTGGGGTGCAATTCTGATAAGGAATGTCACCTCTTCAGGATAGCTCCTTCACCTGTTAATTTACTTATATTGATATTTGTGCAGATTTTCACTCCATGAAACTGTGACTTATGTATTTTATATCTCAGCCAAGAGATACCTTTCTTCCAAGAGAAAGATCCTGACTGTGCTACTTTAAGTCTGTCCTGGTCACTGTTCAATTGTCATGAAGAGACACCATGACCAAGGCAACTGCTATAGAAGAAAACATTTAATTGGGGTTTCGCTTACGGGATTAGAGCGTTAGTCCATGGCCATCATGGCAGGAAACTGACGGGCATGGAGCAGTAGCTGAAGGCTTATACTCTGACCCACAAACACAAAGCAAAGAAAGCTAGCTGGGAATGGCATGGGCTTCACCCTCAGTGACACAGCTGCTCAACAAGGCCACACCTTCTAATCCTTCCCAAAGAGTTCCACTAACAAGCAGTCACACATTGGAGCCTACAGGTGGGGGTGGGGGACTTTCTTATTCAAACCGCCACAGTTACTATCTGCTGTCACCATTGTTTTGTGTAAAAACAATGTGTACAATAAAGACATCAGAATCATAGAACTACTTCTTGTCCTTCACCTGTCATAATCTTTACACCCTCTTCTCTGTGCTGTTCCTGGGCCTTGGAGAGGGTCATGTGGATGCCCAGCGCTTACCCCAGTTACAAGTTTCTTTTATCAGTCACTGCCTTTTCTGTGCAGGGCGGACAGCAGTTAGTGTAAAGCATAAATATGTAGATGGCGATTTGGCTACACCCAGCTTAATGTGGGTCGTAAGTTCCTCACTAAGGCCTGTGACTTCCCAGCCATAGATGTTTGCCCTGGTTCACAAAATCAGATTCGAATTTCTTCCCATGGAGGAGACCTCATGTCTAATCCAAGACTGTCACTTTCTTTCCCGCCTTTGAGTACTGTATCACCACACGCACTCCCCTTCAGATCTTGAGAAGACTGTTTTGGAGGCTTGAATCTTATGCAAAATGAAAACCATTGCAGCAATAGCTAACACAGCACTATGTGGGAAATGCAGATGTCCCCCACGTGAAGCAGACATCTGTCAACGTAGCTCCGCATGGCTCTGTCAGCCGCCGGGATCTCCCTTCTCTATCGTGACATGTGTAGCGATGCTGCTAGGGTTTTACCCTTTAAGAATGAGTCTAGAAATTAACCAGACCGTTTCCCCTATTCATACCAATTTTCAACAAGGCAGAGCTTACCACTTCTTCTTGTACAGCCTTCTTGCATTTGCATTATTGCATTGTTTCACTTTGCTTCTGTTTGTGTGTTCCTATATGTGACTGCACATGTGAGCACAGGAGCTCGCATGCATGGCACACATGTGAGGTCAACATTAGGTGTTGTTCCCCAGGTGCTTTCTAGCTTCTCATTGGCCTAGAGCCTTGCCCAGTTGCCCCACTGTGGCCCATGAACTTCCAGAGATCTATCTGCCTATCTCTGCCTCCTGCCTCACAGTGGCTGGGATTACAGGTGTGCACCACCACTGCACCTAGCTTTTTCCTTGGTTTCTGGGGATCCAAATTCAGGTCCCCTTGCAAGATACATGCTTTAGTGACAGAACTATCTCCCTAGATTTCCTCCTTGAATTTTGAAAAGAAAGTCAATACCAGCGTAATATATTTGTTTGAGAGAAATGGTTGCTGCCACCATTAGGATGATCAGTCACCAAAATTTCTAGTTTAACATCCAACTTAATTTG